CAAAAAATCTTCCATTTGTTTCTTAGTGCTTTTGCCTGCTCTTCACTGTATTTGGTGTAATGAAATGTGTTTATGCGGTTTAAGGTTAAAAAAACACATTATTTTCCACATACTGTACATTATTGTTTCTCCTCTATGCCCCGCCTTTCTGAAACGCGTCCCAAACCTGTAGTCATCTTACATTTTATATAGTTGACTGTTGACAAATATGATGCAGGGCAACAACTTCATTAATGCAATTATGCCCTAAAATTCAAGATATTGGTGCATGTGCCTGTATGTGTTTTTTGTCTCATATTTATATCACACGAGTGCTGATTTTGTCTCGAATATCACGAGTTTAAATGTGATTTTACACAACAGTTCAGTAAATAAGAAGTTGATATTGTGTTATATTTTAAACACAATATTATGTTTTTGCTCAATTTTGCAGAGAACATATTACCTTTAAAGCCACTGCAGAATTGTTGCGTGTCTCCGAGCAACACAGCAGTGTTTCTGAATGAATCCGCGTTTTGATCAAATCGTGTGAACCAATGATTCAAAGACCCATTCAAAAAGAGAGCCATTTACTTCATTCCTGAATGAATTAGCCGTTGGAATTAATGAATGACTCAAAGACATTTACCGCCACCTGCTAGCAGATTTAATTTCTTATATCATTTCATTAAAAAATAATAATAATAAAAATAAAAACATTAAAGGGATAATTCACCCAAAAAAATTTAATTCTGATATTGTTTACTCGGTCTCATGTCGTTTCAAACCTTTCTTTTGTGGAACATAAAAGAAAGTATTTTGAAGACTAGTAAAATGTATCTATCACTATATCCTCTGTAATTATAACTTGTAGCAAAGCGGAAGAGATGACCGTAACGATTGTACAGATTGTAAGCAATTGTAAGTCGCTTTGGATAAAAGCGTCTGCTAAATGTCTAAATGTAAATGATCGGATATACATGTGCTCCACACTGCCAGGCAGGCAGATACAGCAATCTGTCATGCCATATTAGAGTGCCAAAACGCCATTTATTGTTAGGATTTCGTGCTAAAATTAACAGAATACAAAAGCTGAGAATTTGTTTCTTATCAGAAGTAACAAAGCACAAACCTTATTGCCATGGGCGACATTAGGGCGACATTATGATCAGGACATATCAACCAGTAATTTCATTTCATTTCCAGTAACGGACGGTAGAAAGTTCAGCAAAATCTCAGAATCGATGCAGAATCATTACTCGATTCACGATGCATCGATTTATTGTCCCAGCCGTAACATTTAGATACTTGCAGATTAATTTATTCAACTTTTGATAAGAAAGAATTGCCTAATAAAGCTAAAAAACAAACTTAGCTCTCTGCTCTTTCTAGCTGTTTTTCAGACAACAAATTTTTACCAACATGCTCATTGCTGACATCAGAACAGTTAAGCAGGCGAAGAAACTCTGCACTATGCTGCTCTGACACATTTGCTACTAGGGGTGTTACTAGGGATGCTCCGATCGATCGGCCGGAGATCGGTATCGGCCGATAATCGGTACTCACTACACTTGGCCGATCTCATGAACCGATCGCAATTTGATGACGTCAACGCGTGACGACGTATATGATGCGTCGGGACGTAAATGATGTGGCGCCGCAGTCATGTCATCGCCGGTGTGGAAATGCTATGATGTTTCGAGAAACAATGAAAAATTCGCTATTTGTCGTGTATGTTTTGCATGATGATATGATGAATGGTTCACTTTTAACAGCAGATTCAGTGACGTTAGAGCTGATCTGCGCCTCACTGCACACGTCTGCGGCGCGTTATGGCTCCACGGGAACCGGAGCTGATGGCGGCCGCTCTAACGCTTGTGTTTATACCGGCCAGCCGCGGCACGTTTCTGAAGCGGCTCTTCGCGCTGCTTGGCTAAAAATAGTCTTTTGTGAGTTGTCACAGCGTGGAGGACGGAACAAAACCCCGTCAGAGCCGTAAGGGATAACGGTAACATAACACGCTGATCGTGGGCTGCTTTTAAATGAACATTTATTTATAAAACAAAATATCTTCTTCGACCATATTAGCCTACACAATAGCATTAACACAGGCTTTACTCCTTTCAAACTTTATCTGGAATGTCACCGTTTCCATCACTGCAACTTCTCGATCAGGCAAACGAACACACACACACACAAAATCATCTGCCTCATTAAAAAAAATGCTTGAGGAATGCAGTCAGGAAGCATTTTAAACAAGAAATAAAACCAATAATTAATCATTTCCTTTAAGTTCACTGTTGGTTGTTTTATTTGTTAAAATAAGTAAACCAACAAAAGGATTCATCTTTTTTTTATGTCGTCATTTATGTTTTAATGTTAAGTGTGATAACATGCTCTTGATTTGTATTAGATTTTTTTTTCTTTTAAATATCTTAAGTTATTTAAAATATTTTATTTTTTTATTTTTATATTTTTATTACTCCAGATTTTTTTATCATAATATTTATATTTAAGTGTATTGTATTAATAACATTTTATTTTGTCATTAATTATTTTGTATTTTTATCATTTTGTATTGTCTTAAGTTGTCCAAGTTGTTAAAAATGTTATTTTTCTTAATAAAAGCTGTATATTGAATTTGATTGGATGGATTGCCATTTTGTTGTCTATTAGATGTATATATGTAGTCGTTTAATAGCGGTCTAATTGATGACTAGTCTATTCTTGGGCTATGATTAGACGTCTATTAGATTTTCACTGACAGCCCAAAATTAGCCTCGTTTTAGCCTAGACGTCTAGGCTATATTTAGACGTCTAATAGACGTCTTTTAAACGCAAAATTGCTTGCTGGGTAGTGTGCTGTGCTCGTGGATAACTGTGATCGAACTACTCCGTTTTGTACTTTCAGTAGTTTAAATGTTTCTATTTCTTTTTTCCTATTCAGTATTAAACCTTATGTGTTACATCAGACTTCTCCATGTTGGAGTTTAAATGCTTCTATTTATTTTGTCCTCTCTCTAACATTGGACAATGTTAAATTAACCCTAATGAGTTGCACCAAACTACTAAAATTTGTTATTTTAGGAGTTTAAATGTTTTTTTTATTATTAATGTTTATTTTGTCCTCCACAGTTTACTATTGAATAATGTTTAAATAAACCTTGTGGGTTGCATCAGACTGCTCCATTTTGTTTGTATTTATTTTTGTCTCATTAAGTATCCTGATATACATAATGTTATGCATAAACCCCATTTTAAAGGCATATTAAAATGTTCATTGTATAAGGAATAATTTTTGTGATTATTTATATAACATTATTAGACAGTTTCAATGGCAACAACATAAACAAACGTTACTGCGCATGCGCGCTTTTATGGCCCTAACTTAACTTCCGGTAGACTTCCAAATAGAATCAATAACAACAGTCCTCTAGAGTAGATTATTTTTGAAAAGCAAAATATGTTTGCAGCGTAAATCAGACAGACTATATGATGATATTATATGTATAGATGATATATATATATGCGAGCGCCACAAATAAATAAATGTATGGGAAACACATCCCACAGCACAACCACCTGAGCCCAACTTCAGTCTACTCATCACCTTAACTTAACTGCGTTTGTAGCCTGGCGCCATAGCCAGACTGATAAACAAACACAGACCGGAAGCTAACTTCAGGCCAGGCGCGTGCGCCCGATGAAACCGTCTATATAAAGCTTGAAGCATCAGAATCGGCATCGGTATCGGCCGATCACCATGACAAGAAATCGGTACTCAGTATCGGCTGCAAAAATCCCTAATCGGAGCATCCCTAGGTGTTACGGTACACAAACGTGAAGGTTTGGTATGTACCTCTGTTTTGACATCACGTTTCGTTACAGCAGGGACAAAAAAACTAAATATAAATTGCTTTTTTTTTTTATTAAACAATGGTTTACTCAACAAATTGCACTTTTTAAAATAAATTCAATTATAATTAAAATTTTCTTAAGGAAAAAAATCTACCTCAGCTTCTGCTCTAAACTATAGGGAGCCATTTTACATTACTATAAGGTTACAATTAACAACAGAGCCCAAACTTAAATTTAATTACTATTTATTTTTAACTATAATAATCAACACTCAAATCAAAAAATTGTATGCAAACGTTTTTAAATTCCAAATGGAAGTGATCACCCCTATCCCTTTGGAGTGGGGAGTTTGGAGTGAGCAGGGCACGTGCGTGCCATTATGTAGTTGTTTGGAATGCACTTGGCAAAGCCAGCTACATAATTTTCTCATTATCTTCAGCTGGCATGTTCCCGTGACAACGCAGCATGGTGTCCATCAGCAGATGTCGCTGTTTTACTGTCATAAATGTCTTTTTATTGTTGTTAGCATAACTGTTGCAAATAAACATACATTTTATATTTTAAAAAGTTTTTAAAATATGCTATATAATATATAAAAACTTTTTAAAATATAAAATGTATATTTTTTTATGCCGGTGACCATCAGCAAATCTGCTGACGGACACCGTGCTGCGTTGTCACGGGAACATGCCAGCTGAAGATAATGAGGAAATTACATCGCTCCCTTCCATTTGGAATTTGCCCCGTGAACCGTTCGGTACCGATACTCGTATCAGCACATCCCTAGTAACTAGTTACTAAAAGTGGAAAACTATGAAAGTGGGGAATTAGCAAACCATATGAAAGGCTGTTGAAAGGCAGAGTGTAATGGAAACTGGCCCATGAGGCCCTGCTGTTGCATACTGCAAATGAGAACTACCCACAGGTCTCAACATGCCTACAGGGTGACAAACTGTACTGTACTGTTACATATTACATACATTGAAAAATGTGCACTTACTAAACATATGAATGTTATTAATCTTTAAACCTGCAAATGGACTACTGCAAGCCCCTGTATAGTAAACTTTGTAAAACAGAACACAAACTCCTTCCACATTCATGTGTATAGACTGCCACAACAGAATATGCTATTGAGTGTTAAGACTGTGGTTCAAACTTACTGCCATGACCAGTTCAAAAGGATGTTTGTACACCCTCACTGGGGACTGATACTTCTGCACCATTGTAGAGCCGAGAACCTAAAAAGAAAAAATCGAGGAAAGCAATCAAACATTCCATCTTATGCAATAAACCCAGCAGATTTGGCCTGATTTCTCAGAATTAGTAATATTACATAGCACATGTAAGAATGCAAGAATCATAATCTTTAATATGTAATGAACAAATTGTCTCGCGACATGTTGGAAGGAAAGGAATTTCAGAAATGTCCAGTTCAGGCAATTTTATTTTGATAATGCCTGATTACATAAACAGATGTCTGAATAAGAAAATACTTTAAAAAATAAAAAAAAATCTTTAGGGGGGCACTGTTTCCCTGTGTATGAATAGATTTATGTTGTAGACACAGAGCAATGCAAACTATCCTCTATCTTGCCTATCATTTAATTTGCAACTAAATGCTTTTAAAGTTTGATAACTTTATGTCTGTCTCAGTAACAAGTTAAATGTTATAACAGCAATCCTACCTGCCAAATACCAACACATACAGACTTGTGATTTGTTATTTCTATGGCATTTACTATGTAGATATCTTGTTGGGCATGTAAGAATAAATAGTTCCCTAAATCAAGATTCATTCTTACAACTGATATTGAAAGAAAAAAAAACAAGACACCCAATTATGAACTAAAACAGCTATATTACTGCCAATAATATCATATACCATCCAAATACTGTGGTCTAGAACAATAACTACTGCTATCACTAATAAATAAATAAATAATAATAAAAAAAACATTTGTGTGAGTTATACTGACATTAAACTGGATGAAACTAACATTATATATATTAGCATGTTTTGGGTGTGATCTGTGTAAAACAAAATGATAGTGACATAAAATAATCATAATTCAACATGCGCGGTCTAAACCCAGAAACAACTTGTCATTACGGCGGTAAAGTTAGTTTGACGTTTGACATTCATTAGACATTCGGTTTCATACCAATTAAAATCTTTGCGCCTGTTATGTTTTGAGCCCAAACTAACTCAGATAGACATAAATATATGCCCTTTAACGTTGCACAAGGTTTAATTTCTAGAAAAAAAAAATATATAAATTAACCATATAAATTAAACAATTTAACTACATGACATTATACTATAAAACCAATAGTGCCCAGAAAAGCATTATATAAATGTAAGGAATTATTATTATTATACTAAAATGTTCAGAAAAACATCCCTGTTATTGCACAAGGCTCCGTTTTTGGAATTAGCATTTTATGTGTTTTATAATACTTTTACAACTTTTAATGTATGCAATAATATAAATCCATTAAACACCATTTGATCTAAAGGTGTCAAACCAACTGTAAACATCTCTAAATATTATTCCCTATAATGCACAAGGCTTGTTTTTTTCTGATTATGCCTTTATTGTTTTTATATACGATACTGAATCCATATTTTTGATATGTTTAATATACTATACCTACTTAAATTCATTCAACTCTGGCACCATTTGAGAAAGGTATCAGACAAACTGTAAAATATTCAGAATATTATTCCCTATAATGCACAAGGCTTGTTTTAAATGGGTTCAGTACTTTATAAAAAAAAATCAGATTAATAATCTGAAAAACAGCCTTGTGCATTATAGCGAATAATATTCTGAGAATTGTACAGTTGGTTTGATACCTTTATCTCAAATGGTGTCAGAGTTTAATGAATTTAAGTAGGTACAGTATATTAAAAATATCAAAAATATGGTTTCAGTACCGTATATAAAATAATAAAGGCATAATCTGAAAAAAAACAAGCCTTGTGCATTATAGGGAATAATATTCTGAATATTTTACAGTTGGTTTGATACCTTTATCTCAAACGGTGTCAGGGTTTAATTAAAGTAGGTACAGTATGTTAAACATATCAAAAATATGGATTCAGTATCGTATATAAAAACAATAAAGGCATAATCAGAAAAAAAAACAAAAACAAGCCTTGTGCATTATAGGGAATAATATTTAGAGATTTTAACAGTCGGTTTGATACCTTTAGATCAGGGCTGTCCAAACTCGGTCCTGGAGGGCCGGTGTCCTGAAGAGTTTAGCTCTAACCCTAATTAAACACACCTGAACCAGCTCTTACTAGGCATAGAAACTTCCAGTCAGGTGTGTTGAGGCAAGTTGGAGCTAAACTCGCTAAACTCGAACCAGCTCTTACTAGGCATAGAAACTTCCAGTCAGGTGTGTTGAGGCAAGTTGGAGCTAAACTCTGCAGGACACCGGCCCTCCAGGACCGAGTTTGGACAGCCCTGTTTTAGATCAAATGGTGTTGTCGTTTAATGGATTTATATCACTGCACACATTAAAAGTTGTAAAATTATTATAAACACATAAAATGCTAATTCCAAAAACGGAGCCTTGTGCAATAACAGTGATATTTTTTTCTGAACATTTTAGTATTGGTTTTATAGTATAATGTCATGTAGTTAAATTGTTTAATTAATTTATATGGTTAATTTATATATTTTTCTAGAAATTAAACCTTGTGCAACGTAAAGGGCATATATTTATGTCTGAGTTAGTTTGGGCTCAAAACATAACAGGCGCAAAGAGTTTAATTGGTATGAAACCTAATGTCTAATGAATGTCAAACGCATAGACTGTGGTCAACGTCAAACTAACTTTACTGCCGTCTTGTAATTATAACATCCGGGCCCGGCATAGAACTGTCTCTCTAAATAAACGTAATGTCTGCTTATTTCTCCACATTTAAATGTTTTATATTATGAATAACATGCCTCAGCTCTGTAGCTAACGCAATTAGCCGGTTAGCACACCCAGTAGCATCTCTTAACGTCCCGTAATGTCTGCTTATTTCTCCACATTTAAATGTTTTATATTATGAATAACATGCCTCAGCTCTGTAGCTAACGCAATTAGCCGGTTAGCACACCCAGTAGCATCTCTTAACGTCCCGTAATGTCTGCTTATTTCTCCACATTTAAATGTTTTATATTATGAATAACATGCCTCAGCTCTGTACGTTAGCTAACGCAATTAGCCGGTTAGCACACCCAATACCAACTCTTAACGTCGCTCACTTTAAACTCAAACACAAAACTCCTTTTTCTTTTAATCCTTAAACGTGTGTTCTTTAATACCGCTATAGTTTAACATATCGTTATTAACACAAGGCACATATATTCATAAATGGTTATTATTAGTGACGGCTAACGTGCTAACTGTTTTAGTAAACAGAATTAGCGAGTTTAGCTGTGATCTGCCGGCTGAAAATAATTAATTAATCATTTTTACATTGTTCAACCAATATCTAATTTCAGGCACATTCTTTAGCAGTGATTGAAGGTTTTTGTGTGTGTGTGTACTTTGTAAATGTACGTTACTTACTGAAACAAAGTACAAGGAACTGAAAACAGATAATTCGTAGCAGAAAATAAAGCAGTCTTTATGAATTTGAAAGATGTTCTGTAGGTTCTAGATGTTAGGATTGGTGGGTTCTGAAATATCCATGACTGAAATGATCTCTCTGAATCAAAGCCGAGCAGTGCTTCCACTCCCAAGAGGTCCTCGCTGCAGCCTGTAGCACGATGAAGTAGCTGGATCAGATCCAATACGTATTGGATGTTTGACTAGCATGCGCAGTATTGAATTTTAATGCGCATGTGCAAAGTGGGGCTGTCATTGAAGCTAGTATTTAATGTCAATTAAACGGGAGTGTTGTATCAGACGATAGTATGAAAAGCAACTAATAAAACATTTCTTTGACCTGCCTGAGGTGTTACTAGAGAGGTAAAGTCTTAATATAAATTTAATGTATTTTAATTATTTTATTATTATTGAAAATGTTTGTAATAGCTATATTAGAATAATATAAAATCTAAATAAACAAAATGGATCGGCATTAATCTAATATCCCCAATTAAATTTAAATAAACATGACGGATACAATCAAAAAGACATATAGGCTAACTCGTATAATAATTAGCTAGTGCAACATCTGCATATCAATCATGTTACAGTGCTTGTTGTATCCTTATAATAATGGATACAGCACTGTGCATCCTGGCGATAACATATGAAATGCAGGCTATTCAAAAATAAATAAATAAATAAAACTTTGAATTTGGACATTAGTGTTTACATTGTAATGTAATGTAGGTAATCGTGTAGATAAAGTAGGTCAAAAACGATAAAAGCGTTTGCAAAATGATAAAATGTAAATAAAAATCTGAATTTATTCGAGACCTACTACAGCGCATGCACGTAAAATATCCACTACGTAGTGGATATAGTACAGCTACGTCATCGTGCTGCGGGCTGCAGCGAGGACAGACTCCTCCGATTTGACAAAGTCCGGACTCGCGGATCCACTGCTGAATGTGCCCCATCATACACTCAGGGCCGTTTTAACCATTGGGCTAGGCGGGGCCGAAGCCCCGGGGCCCGAGCAAGGAGGGGGCCCGTGATTGGCTGTGGAGTAGATTGACTGGAGCGCCACCACGCCCCTCACTTATTAGCGCCGTTATTTAGTTGAGCTTTCCCGTAAATTCCATGCATTACCAGATTGAAACGTAAAGTCTGAATTTGGTTTACCAATCAAATGCATTTATTCTATATTTGACTTTTGAACGATATGCGCACGTCTGACTGGCTCTGGCTGCAGTGAAGAGAAAAATACTGCTCCTCCTCGTCTCAGTATTTTTCCTAACAGTCTAGTTTGCTGTAGTTGTCATCACCACCATGGGACTGACCGATAAAGAAACACCACAGACCAGTATTGAAGTGCACAGGAAATAAGCAGCAGTCATGTTTAAAGCAGTTTAAATTAATATTGAGTACTGATTGATGCTCACTTGGATTTTTTTCCCCATCGTGGGGAATTAACTTAATACTCTGTCATTTATAGTCGTATGGTAAAATGTATATTTTTAATTGTGTAACGTTACGTTCAAAATAACTACAAAATGTCATGCCTTTGAAAAAATAAAGAGAAC